TGTTTCTAGTGAAACTCCAATGTGCTCAATGCTACTGTACAAGAGCACCTCATGTTTACTGTTCGAGAATATCTTCTTGCTGATATTTTATAGCATCTTAGTAGTGCTCATCAAAAGCACTAGTTTCTTGAGCACCTCAATGTAGTTATACTACTTACAACTCATACCTTCTTTTTAAATGCACCTCAGTGATGCTCTATCAGAGTAGGTCATGGGTGCTGTTCTAGTGCACTTTTAAGGTGCTCTTGTAGACCATACAAATGCTACTCTTCTAGACCACCTATATGATGCTCTTCTACAGCTCCGTAATGTTGCTTTTCTAGAGCACCTTAATGGTGCTTTTCTACAGCACCTCAATGATAGTCTTGTAAAGCAACTTACTGGTGATACCTTAGGTCTTCAATCCTGGTGAAGGTCCTGAGCACCTCAGCAGTATTCTTCAAAAGTACCTTAAGCTGATATTGTATAGCATCTGATTAGTTCTCTTCAAAAACATATAATTGCTGCTCTTCTAGGGCACTTCAGTAGTGCTTGTCTGCTCCACCAAATCGTTGCTTTGATTTTTTTCTAGTGAAACTCTCATGTGCTTTTCAAATCATCTCAATGCTACTGCACTTGCGCGACTCATTTATAGTCTTCCAAAGTATCACCACGCTGATCTTATATAGTATCTAAGTAGTGCTCATCAAAAGCACGGCATTGGTACGTTATTAGAACAGCTCAAAAATACTGTTCAGAAGTATCTAGGTGCAATTCACCTCAACAATTATTTTCTAGAGCACCTCATTGGTAACCTTCCTTAAAATTTCAGTAGTAATCTTCTAGAGCACCTGTTATTATAGGTTTGCTTGAGTGCGTCAATGTAAATATACTTTGAAAATTCAAAGAAGGTCGGTGCAATCATGTTTCTCTACTCACAACTCATTTATTTTTTTCAAATGCACCTCAGTGACTTAACCAGAGTAGCTCAAGGGTGTAATTGTAAAGCACTTGTAAGTTGCTCTTATTGGCCACTCAATTGTTGCTCTTTTACAGCCCCTCAATGTTGCCATTCTAGAACGCCTTGAAGGTCCTTTTCTATAGCACCTCAGTGATGCTCTTCTAGAGCAAGTTAACGGTGCTACCTTAGATCACTTCAATCTAGTGCAGGTCCTGAGCATGTCAGTATTACTCTTCAAAAGCACCGCCATGCTGGTCTTTTATAGCATCTCATTAGTGCTCTTCAAAAACCGTCTCAAAGCTGTATTCCTACAGCACCGCAGTGATGCACTTCTACAGCATCTCATCCGCGCTTTTCTATGCAACCTCAATGATTACAGCATATCTTTAGTACTCATGAAAAGCACCTCATTGCTGCGCTATTAGAGCAGCTAAAAATGCTGAAAAAGAGTATCTAGAGGCTATTCATCTCAACAACTGTTTCGTATCTCATTTGTAACCCAACATTCAATTTAAGCTGGAAAACAGCTTAAACAGGCAAATAATTGCTGATTTGTTGCCTGTATCAGCACAACTCATTTATTAGTTTCAAATTCACCAAAATGACACTCTACCAGAGTAGCTGGTGGAGTTGTGGGTGCTTTTCTAAAGCACCGCAATGGTGCTCTTTTAGGGCACCTAAACTGTGTTTTTCTTGACCATCAAAATTATGTTCTTGCACAGCACCTTAATGTTGTTCTTCTAGAGCACCTCAATGATGCTTTTTCTAGAGGAGGTCACTGATGTTATTCTAGAGCAACGTATTGGAACTATTGCAGGTCACTCCAATCCCGTGAGCATTTGATTTCTACTCTTCAAAAGCACCTTATGGCGGTATTTTATAACATCTCATCAGTGCTCTTCAAAAACATCTCATTGCTGCTCTTGTAGAGCACTTCATTAGTACTCTTCTGGACCACCTAATTGGTGCTTTGCTTTTCGTCTAGTGAAACTCCTCTGTGCTATTCACTGCTACTGAACAACAGCACCTCATTTAAAATCTTCCAAAGTACCTCCATGCTGATCTTTGATAGCATCAAAGTAGTGCTCATCAAAAGCACCCCATTGATGCGTTAGTAGAACAGCTGAAAAATGTTGCATAAGAGTATCTAGGCGCTATTCACCTCAAACATTTTTTTCTAGAGCACCTCATTGGTAAACTTCCTGAGAATCTCAGTAAGAATCTTCTAGAGCACTGCAATGTTGCTATACTATGACAATTCAAAGAATGTCGATGCAATACCGTTTAATTTTTTCTCATATCCACCTTTACCAGGGTGCTATTCTACAGCACATGGGTGCTATTCTGAAGCACTTGTAAGGTGTTCTTCTAAACCACTCAAATACTGCTGTTCAACAGCCCCTCAATGTTCTCTATTCTAGAGCGCCTAGATGGTGCTTTTGTAGAAGAGCTCAATGATGCTCTTCTAGAGCAACTTAACGGTGTTACCATAGGTCACTTAAATTTTGCCCTAAGCGCCTCAAAACTGTATTCCTACAGCACCCCAGTGATGCACTTCTACAGCACCTCAATCAATACCAACTCAATGATGCTACTCTACTAGAAATTATCAATGCAGCTCTTGCAAAGTACCTCCATGCTAGTCTTTTACAGTTCATATCGTTAATGCTCATCAAAAGCACCTCAATGCTGTGCTATTAGAGCAGCTCAAAAATGCTGAACAAGAGTACTTCGTCGATTGCATCCTGGATGAAGTCCTACTCGTGCACTTCATTCGAGGATTTCTAGAGCACTTCATTGTACTTATGCTAGGGAAACTCAACGAAGATCTTTTCAATCCAGTCAACTGTTTCCTAAAACACCTCAATGTTGCTTCACCACTGGAAAGTACCTCAGAGCGTTAGCAAAGCAACATTGTGTATGCATTTCACAACACTTGACAAAGAGACCACACACCATTTTCTTTGCACACTCTTTTGCGACTAACCTGTGAGAAAACGATTCACACAATGAGCAGTACACTCCGTCCGGCGCAGGGAGCGCATGTATTACAACAAGCGTTAATGTCTTCTTTGAATTATTTGCAGACTTTGCTTACCATGACTGCATGCATAGGAGATGAAGAAGGGCATAACGAAGAAGAATTTTGTATTTTTGCTGAGTTTCCCATTTGCAACCCTACACTTAGTGGCGCTCTTTGCGTTGGAGCCACCAGAGCGATGGCTACACATTGAGCTTTCGTTATTTCTCGGTGTGTGTCTGTCTTCTCTTCTCCGCTGCTTTACACTTGCGCAGGGTGAAAGACAAGCAAACTTTGTGTTTACTTGATTCTCACTTTGTTTATTTCAGAAAATCAGTACATTGCGCGCATTGAGTGATCAGATGAGTGCCCTGTTCACCAGAGTAGCTATGATTGTTTCTAGAGCAATTCCAGAGCACATTAAAGGCACTATTTGAAGCACTTCAATAGTGCTCAGAAGTTGGTGCTCTAGTAAACGAACCTGAATTGTGCTCTTCTAGAGCACTCCAAGTGATCAGCTTTTTTCAAAATCTAGAACGATTCCATCGAAGCTCGAAGGTGAAGAGTGCTGATCAACGCTTTTTGGAATGAGGAACTCTACAAAAGTGAGCACTGATCGTATCTTTTCAACTCCATGAATTAAAGGAAAACTGTTTGAACGGAAATTTATCTACTATCAATTGAGTACCATACACTTTTAATTGAATCTCAATTTTGGCAGTGCGCTGTGGAGTCAAACCAAATGTCGACGCAATGTCAGGTTCATGGTGCAAATCTAAATGTTTACCAATGCGCCGTTTGTCTGCAGGGCAGACTAAATTGAACGTCTTCAAGCGTATCTCAAATCGTCATTTCAATCAAATACTTTCATTATAAGATGAAGGGTTCGGCCTGACAAATCTTTCGGTTGGAACTTGTCTAGATTTAACTGGTATAATGTATCATATTGCATCCTGACATAATATACAAATTCATGCATTTGTTGTCATATAAAGCTCTCAATTAAAAACTGTGGAAGTACTTAAAAGAACACAAAGTCGGTAATTGCTAAAGAAGTGTGAACAGCCACCACGAAACTGAACGTAGTATTTGATGTCTCATGTCTGACTAACTCTCAGCAGCCACAATGTCTTTACATTGGTTCACAGCTACAAATCGCTATCAGTTTAGAATTCACGGAGCACTGCCATCTCTGACATAAAGACGATGTGTAGTCTAACTTATTGAGCACAACAGGAGAAATTAAGGTGCTTCAATGTACACTTCTAGATTATCTCATGGCACACTATGGTGTTTTGCAAGAGCACCTCAATAGGGCTCGGTCAAAGCGACTCATAGGGACTCTCCAACAGTATCTCAATGGTGCTCTTCCACAACACCTCAAGTGGTGGCTTTTTCATGACTTCTAAGTTCATTTTCCCTAGGGATTCCTTCTTTAGTTCTAATTGGTGCTCTTTTAGAGCACCTTAATTATGCTCTTCCATGCTATTTTTGAGCATTTCTTTGGTGCTCTTATAGATCAGCTAAATAATTCTTATTCATGCCACCTCATAAGACCTCTCCCAGAGTACCCCAATGGTGCTCTTCCAAAACATCAAATGGAGACCTTTCGATGGCATCTAAGTGGTACTCTTTAAGAGTTCCTAAATGGAACCCTTCCAGTGCTCAATGGTGCGCTTCTAGAGCACTACAATGTGATACAATACAATGCAGCACCTCAAAAGCTAGAAGAACACTTTCCAGGTACTTCAGAAGAACAACTCAATGAAGCTCGAAGATCAACAGCGCCATCCAAAGTATCTTCAAATGAGAGCATTTCCGAAATTAAGCCCACAAGCCTTCTTATGCTGTTGAACGCATTCAGCTAACCAATTATTTTGAACTCTTCCTGAATAATTCAACAGTTCTGCATCGTTGTGCCTCAAAATACCTCTTGTGGTACATGCGAAGAGAAGTTTTCGGATCATTCCAGAAAAATATGTTTCATCCAGCTCCTCAATAATGTGACACCCCTCTCATACCTTGTCTATCTCCTTCCAGATCCTCTTAGCCTGCGCCACTTGCGCCATGGCCTTCCCGGAACCACCCCGCGGTCGCATCGTCCAGCCGGCCAAGCAGCTTCAGCTGCCCGAACACGAGTACGGTGCGCCACCAAAGTCGGAGTACGGTCCACCAAAGTCCGAATACGGACCACCTCCGGCGCCCGAATATGGACCCCCAGCCCCAGCCTACGGGCCACCGTCCCACGAGTACGGTCCCCCGCCAGTACAGAAGCTGATCACCAAGAACGTCTACGTCCACATTCCCCCAGAGGAGCCTACCGAAATCATCAAGAGCACAATCCTAGAATCCCCCATCCCCAAGAAGCACTACAAGATCATCTTCATCAAGGCTCCGGCTCCTCCAGCCCCGATCCAGCAGCAGATCCCACCGCAGCCACAGGACGAACACAAGACCCTGGTCTACGTTCTGGTCAAGAAGCCAGAGGAAGCCGCACCACTAGAACTGCCACAGGCTGAACCCACCGAGCCCAGCAAGCCGGAGGTCTACTTCATCAAGTACAAGGCCAACGAGCACAAGGAACCAGCCAAGAGCTACGGACCACCGGCCAACACCTACGGACCTCCGTCGGCTCCATCTGGACCGGCTCGCTACCAGCAGTTCTAAGGCCCCAAATCAAGATCCCCAAAATTCCACAAAAAGGCTCAATTGTTATTTGTTACGTTGTTGTTTTATTAGAATCAATTCTTAAGTTTAGTTAGATGCATTCATTCGAGGTGAGATTGTCCAAACCGCCCTTCCCAACCGCTAGCTTCCCTCTCACCATTCCAACTGTAAATAGCTCCATAAACACGCAGGATAAAAATCCAATCTAAGTACGAAGCACAGTTTCTCGAAACACCACAGCAAGTTCCCTAGCCGGCAATCCCCTACCATCTTTCCCAAATGCGGCACGTTTCCGAGACTTGACCAAGCTGTGTTTCGCAATCTCACCTCGTTCGGCATTAAGCATTTAGGAAAAGAAAATCCGTATATGTTTATGTGCTAAGTGTGTTTAGCTTGTAGAAGAGCAGTATCGTGGAAGAGTAGTAGCTATGTAGTAAATGTTTAGCCAACACCTTGACTCCCCATCCTTCCCCAACCCCTCTTCAACCCTTACCTATACATGCGTGCAATAATCCCGTGATTGTGTAAATATTGATCCTCTGAACTCCGAACCCATCCACATCCGTCCATCCGCAATCTCGTAGAAACTTCCTAAATCCCAAACCAAACCAATGAATTAAAACGTGACGAAAACCGAACGGATGAAGAGAAAACACAATCCCAACTCCCCCCACTACCCCGCCCCAACCCAATAGGTTTAGGTAGAGAGAAATAAAACGATTTGTCGAGAGTAAATATAGCATTCTTAATACGATTTCTTTCTCGTTGCTGAAATATCACAGTCCTGTGGCGGGTCCTCCCCCCCCCCCCCCGGTGCGGTCGGCGGTGGTGGTGCAAAAATGTGAGCAGTTTGTGTAATCGCAACGGATTTTCCCTTTCTTGTTTCTCTCGGCGTTACAGAAACTGTGAATCGCACCCAGCGACTGTAAATGAAGATGAATGGGAAATTGCGCTGGAATCTGGGATTGTGATTTATTCAGGATTTTTAAAGTTTTCTCGTCTGGGTAAGTTGTGCCAGTGTTTAGCTCTGCTACTCCTGTAATTGACGCTTTCTTGAAGGACAAAATTGTTTCACTGTAATCGAAATTTATTTCGATAGGACTGTTTCCAGTTTGACCTTAATTTAGTATTCTTTGATCGTATCCAAGTTGAGATCCGGTTTAACACGCAAGATGAACCAACTGGAAATCTCGTTAATGAGGATAACATAGATACTGTAATCCGTTCTCCATCATCCTGCTACTCTATTCAGGGTGCTCACCCACCTTAAATTCAAGGAAAACCAGGAAAAACCCGGGAATTTTATGAAATAAATGTGTTTGTTCACCATCTCTCGATGATAAATTTGTGCTGTTGTCGGTATCTGCCATCAGGCGTTGCTTCTAACTACACAGATAACAATTCTGAATTTTAATAGTGATGTAAACATTCATTTTTTTTACTTGTAAAATTTGTTTATTCTTCAGAAAGTTTAAAAAGTAATTACAAAATAATTATTCAAACTTCGATATCTAATTCGAATTCACACGAATTTACATAACATAACAAAGGTGACCTACTTTATGAACAATATGAGTATTCTATGTTTTTTGATGCTTTCTATGTTCCCCAGTTGAGCCCTTAATAGTTCTTCTATCGAGAGTGTACGCCATCCATTGAGTATAATCGTTATCTTGCGCTGCAGCAGTCTCCAAGCTGGCTCCACGCATACGCATTCGCTGAACTAGTGCTGCAATGTTTCACAGGCAGCGTTAGAGTGTAGGCAGTTTTCACCATCGGTTCTGTTCATTCGGTACATCAGTTTTCGGTGCTCAATTTTTCCGTTGACTAACAGGAATAAGGCACTTCGTTCACTTGAATTCAGCTGTTGCTTGGTTATATTTGTCCAGATTTGCCACCAGTTTGCTGCTGGATACTCACGAGTAACTTTGGGTATTTCGGTTTGTTCGATGAAATGGATATGAATACTATCGGCGGTAAGGTTTTGTTGGACTTGCGGAGGGAGTGTTGGGAGATTTAAAAGGCCGCTTCATCAATGGGTGTAGATAGAGGACGAATAGATGGATGGAGAGCCCCTGGCGAACCGATCACTCGATGGGAAACGCTTCCGAGAGATGCCCGTTTATCGCCTGTTGATAAGAGGACCACAAATCTCCGATTTTGCTAAGTAGGCGAACGAGATTCGGATTGAACCCGAGCGAGCACATGTTACGAAAAAGAAACGACCGGTCCACTACGTCGAAAGCGTGACGGAGATCGAATGATGCCAATAGACCACGTTGTTTACAGTCAGTCGTGCGATTCGATCGTTGAAAGCAAGGGTAACTTGAAAGATATTCCGGCTGAAGTTAGAGCATTGTAGTCTTAGCCAGTCGAAAGACAAAAAAAAATTAGAGCATTTTTGACTCTCGCGTTTCCCTTCTTTTTCACAAGTACGATCACACCGTCAACAAAATCAGCTGGGAAGTGCCTCGTTTATGACGAGTGTGATTTCTCTCCAGATGACATCGAAAGTTTTGAGGTAGAACTCTCGTGGCAAAGAGTCTCCTCCGGGAGACTTGTTCGAGCTGCTAGTTTTGATGGCTGTGTAGATATCGGCGGAAAAATGATTTTATTTTAGGCTTAGCGCACGACAGCCACCACTGCATCCATGAGGGGTAATTTCGACGCTAGCGGGTCCAGTATTGCCAGCGTACCTGGAACTCGTGAATGTTGTCTGTTGTCAACAGGTGGGGACGTCGCGACCAAAAACCAAGACCAGGTTCGCGGCTTGATTGATGAAGACAAATTCGCGCTGTTACGGCTTTATGGTCAGAAAAAAAGCAAACATGTGCATCAGCTGTTCTCAACTGACTTCGTAGACCCTGTCTAACGTACATACGGTCTATGCGAGAAAATGAGTTGTGTGTTTTGTACGTGTATCCCGGTATATTTGGGCAGAGTTGTTCCCAAACATCGAGGAGCTGCAGCTGCTGTACACTCAAAATAATCTACACGTTGAAGCTACGTGAAATATCACGTAAGCTCTCAATGTTTCCTCTCCTCTCAGTTTTACGTGACTCACGTAGAATGTATGTGATGTCCCTTGATTTTCACAGAGAGTTTCTTTTTAACACATCTGCATAATCAATGAAATGTACGTGATTTTCACATAACACTTAATCTATGTGCGTTTCACGTAAAGCTTTTGTGATTTCCACATCTAAAAAAAGAGTGGTACGTACACTCAAAGCGGTGCAAATCATGGCGGCATCATAACGTGCTTTTGTCCGGTATTCGGTAGTGGCAAGAAGTAAGTATAACATTATGGATTATTTATTCTTTTTAACAAAAATAAACTGTCTGTTTCATCGTGCTCAACAGAATGATTTCAAGCTGTCCAGCAGTTTCTTACTCTAAGAGAAAAAAAGTATCTCGGCCCATCTCCATGATCGTCCAGATTGTTTGTGCTGCTTATCGAATATTAAAAAAAAATGATGTGGGTATTTAGAATATTTGAATAAATTAAAGAAATTTTATTAAATTATACAACTATAAATACAGTAAAGCTTGTATCTACATATTAAGGAAATATTTGTACAAATAGTGTCAACATATTGATACTAGAATCCGCCAATGAATGTCACCGATCAAATCACGTAACTTCTATGCGATAATCATGTGACGGTTAAGCTTCATGAAATGAGTACCCCTACATGAGAATCACGTAGCTTTTATGTGAAAAGTATGATGGAAAAAATCTACGTATGTTTTCACGTAGCATTTACGTGAAAATTATTCTGAGTGTACGGTTGCGAGGAGAGCGGGGCACAGTGGGACCATTCTGAAAAAAGACGGTCAATACCTTTTTCTCCCCTTTATCGTCGTTTTAAAGATTTGCTGTCTGGGAAGAAGTTTGTCGTAATAATGGTCCAAGTCTTTTGAAATAAGTACCTAAATATTTATTAAGCTGGTATTACACTTGCAAAAACTCTTTTTTTTACTGGTTCGAGATAATAGCTTTATGTCTTCAGCAATGTTGTAGAAAAACAAATTTTATGAAACTTTGCTCAAGACACCAACCTTCTTTATCTTTATCTTTACCAAATTTAAGTTAATTCGTGACAGGAGCAGCTTAAAATCGTTTTTTTGTCATTTTTTGTATTATAATCTCAAGACAATGGTAGTCTATATAGCTTTGTTTGGATTATAAACCGGTTAAAGGCAAACAATTACAATTTTTTCAATTTAAATTTCTTTTGAGTTTGCAGGTTTTAGTAGCCAAATTTAACGTGGTTTGATCAGTAATGATGTGAAGTATAAACGAACCTAAAATCTCAATCGGGTCTGGTGGGGCAATTAGGTGGTTGTTCTGTTGCATCCGAATCTGAACGTGAGCCGTTGTGTCGTATCCTGTTTCGAGGCGATCCGTATGGAGGAGAAGGATGTCCTGCGTGGTCTCATCAGCCAAGGGGTCATCCAAGTCCAACGGATTACTCGAAGGGAGAACGGTAAGCCGGTGAATACGTCCGCCTTGATCCTAACATTCAACAGGTGCAACTACCCGTCGCAAGTCAAAATTGGTGTACTTCGAGTCTCTACCCGTCCATATTATCCGAATCCTCTTCTTTGTTACGGTTGCGTTCGCTATGGTCATCCTCGTGCACGTTGTCCTGGCCCGAAACGATGCCTGAATTGCTCTGCCGAGCATGAGCTGCCGGAGGGTGTAGAATGTGAAGCTGCTGCTCACTGCATCAACTGCGGTGGACCCCATCGTCCGAATAATCGACAATGTCCGGTCTACAAGAAGGAGGTGGATGTTATCCGGATGAAGGTGGATAAGAACCTGACGTACCCCGAAGCCCGCAAGCGAATTGAATCAGGGTTAGAGAATTACGCCGCAGCTGCCGCCCAGAAGACTGCCGACCGCAAGAAGCTGGAGGAACTCGAAAAGAAGATGCAAGAGAAGGATAACCAAATAACGCAGCTGCTTGACGCGATGAAGAAAAAGGACGAGAAGATCGATAAGCTGTT